GGGGGGGGGGGGGGGGACTCAACAAAGTACACAAAAGTAAACAATCAATCATAATCAACAAATGTAACAAAGAAGGACATGCCAGACTGGAGGTCAGTTACATAAACCTATATATGATGTGTAGTTTTCCAGTGTTGAGCAAATTAAGCTGTTTTATTTCTGTCCCATTATAATAAAGGGAATTGGGTGGGAGAAATTTGTCTAGCAAAGGTTATTCTGCACAGTCTTAAAAACAGAAAAGATTTGAACTCAACCAAAAGAATTCAGCTTTGATTATAAACAGCACCTCCTCTGACACTGATCAAAGTAAATGGGACTGGACAGATTACATGGCCTCACCAACAGATCATTAAACGATACCACATGTAAAGTGCATATGTGTAAATATTCGGGCAACTCGCGCTACACTGTTCCACAAATGTTCACGCGGTAATTTATCGCCACCCTCTGGACAAATCTGGACAACAATATGTATCGTAATCACGTAAATCAAGATTTTTTTATGAAAAGGATCATCATAAAATTAAAGAAGTATTGAATGTTGAAAGAATCATATGACAAAGGGCCACTCTGAATTGTGAAACAGTTGGCACTATTATATTACAAAATGTATAAATGCATCAGCACAATACGGCTTGCCTCAAAATAACATGATAGAAGACAAAACTGTGTGACCAGCCATTGTAACACTGTGACTGATTCTTTGAATCGTGTGACTGGAAATCAAATTGAAATGTTAATTATCATTGTAAATCACTGAAATACTGGAAAATATATATATATATATATATATATATATATATATATATATATATATATATATATATATATATATATATAAAACAATACAGATATGCAAATGCTATATATCTATATTCAGAACCTTATATAGAGTATCTCTTAAAATACAACCAGTATCTATCACCGTGTCCTTGGTCTTCATTCATTTCAAGGGCGATAGTTTGTATGTTTCAATATGGGGATACAGACGAGATGCTTGCGCGTGCGCTGTTGTGAAATAATCCAATGCGATATACAAATCCTACTACGGCGAGGGATTGGGTCATAAATATTAAATAGTTCTTTGTGACGTTGCTTGGTTACCTTCATAAAGCGTCCAGTCGCGTACCTTCATTAAACTGAATAAACCAAACCTTCTCAAAGTGAGAATCGTTAATTCGCCCTCTGACTAGAGCACACATATCATTGTCTGCCTTTCAACCAATCAGAGAAAACTATTGGACAAACGTCACACAATTTACGTAATATTCATGAGCCAGTCCTTCGGCATAGTAGGGTTCGTAGAGCGTGTGTGTGCGCTGTGTTGTCCACCGTGTACCAGTCTGAGCGCACAGCGGATCTCTGCACTTAGACCAGAGCCATGGCTTGAGTTACAGTACCTGCGGGCCATCCCATTATCAAATGATGTTCTTTTAACCAACATGCGACGGATTGCTCTGTTCTTCTGACCTGAAAAAGACCCGATTCCCCGGTCGGTCCGGATTAATTTCCTGCGCATCATTTGGACAGGCGTCTCTAGGATGGAGCACATCAGAACACCAAAGGTACTGCTATAGGATGTCATTTATGTACTTAATAAACGCTCGCAATACAGCGTTCATCCGCTAGATCGCATTCGTTTTGAATGACATGCTTTTTAAAACGCAATGTTTGTTTACCGAATTAATTTTCTTTGAAAATAAATGGTTTGACAGAATATGCCCAGTGATAGGCCACAATGCAGCCCCCATCTTCCTTCATCTAGTGCCTTGTAACAAGATCTGAATAATGGTTCAGCCTCAGCACTACTGATGCACCATGAGACTGAGCAGATCTTACCATTCCATTTTAAAAACATACTCTGTGGTATGATATTTTATGATTTTAATGTATTCAAGGTTAGGACAAGTACATACGTGATCTATCCCTAGCTATCCTTCATTCCATAATACTACTTGAATGTTTTAGAATAATGCCAAGCTGGGGAAAAAAGAGAAGCTTGGTGTTATGATTGCAAAATAATTGACATCCTGTTACAATTGATAACATATAATGTACATCACAAGGTTGGTTTTTAGAAAGGGGAAAAAAGATTGTATGTTGCTTTTTTTCAGGTGGAGAATGTGCGTATGATTGATAGACTGACCCCCAGGAAATCTACGGTGGGAACATTATACCTTTCCTCTACTCACACTATATTTGTAGAGAACTCGGAGGCTCACAAAGAGACCTGGGTAGGAATTGAAACCCTTTCATGCAGACAATCAAGCTTCTTCCTTCCTTGTTTTTTTTATTTTTTTGGCTAAATCAAATTTTAACACAGAAAATCGATTTATCTGTGTTTGTCTGTTTATCATTGACATTACTCACATTTTGTGATGATACAAGCAATCAAGCAGTTGAATTTCTCTTAAATATATCCAATTGTAAAGAGCTGGGTAGTAATATACCACTTAACATGGGTGTGTGTGTGTGTGTGTGTGTGTGTGTGTGTGTGTATATAT